ACTAGAAGTCGTCGAAAATCGTGGAAGAAAATATTGTGCGTATTAGTGTGTTGTATAAAACAACAACAACAATAATAATAATATGGAGGGAATTCTAGACATTCATTCAGCTGTCGCTTTCGATGAGTCTATAGCTCATTATGAAGTTCATGCGCATCAGCCTTATTCATTATCATATTTCAATAATAGTGATGAAATTCATATAGCAATTCAACATCAAGATTTATCTCTGCTTCCATCGCGCAGTATGATTCATATTTGTGGTAGGTTGACCAAGCCGGACGGTACCACTCCAGTGGAGAACACTTTATTAGTCAACAATGCCCTCTGTCATTTGTTCGAGGAAATACGATATGAAATAAATGCTATTGAAATTGATAAAGTGAAAAATGTAGGCTTAACGAGCCTCATGAAAAATTGGCTTTCACTCAATCCATGTCAAAGCTCTATCGCTGAAAATGCTGGATGGAATGGTGATAACAACGAAGTTTTAATATGTAACGCTCAAGGTTTTTTTGATGTGACTATCCCTCTCAGTATGTTACTGGGCTTTGCTGAAGATTATCGGAAAATTGTAGTCAATGTCAAGCATGAACTTATTCTCACAAGATCAAGAGATGATTTAAATGCTATTTTGTCTGCTCCAATAGGGAATCCTGCTGCTTCAGAAAAAACAAAAATTACTTTAACTAAGGTTGAATGGTTGATGCCATATGTGATGGTTGCAGACAAAGAAAAAATCAAATTACTCAATCAGATTGGACGAGATCGTGCAATTACTATGAGTTATCGTACTTGGGAAATGTATGAGTATCCAAAATTACCTCGTACATCAAAGCATGTTTGGAGTGTTAAGACTTCCAATCAATTGGAAAAGCCTCGCTTTGTTATTTTAGCTTTTCAAACTAAACGTAAAAGTTCAGCAAGTGTTAATTCTAGTAATTTTGATCATTGTAATATTAGTAATGTGAAGCTATTCCTCAATTCACAATGCTATCCGTATGGAAATCTCAATTTAAATATCAATCAAAATCAGTTTGCTGTTCTCTACGATATGTATACTAATTTTCAAAACGCTTATTATGGTAAAGAAAACGAGCCGTTACTCAATAAAAAGGATTTCATTAATAAAGTGCCGTTAATAGTTATAGACTGCTCCAAACAAAATGAAACATTAAAAAGCGCTCCAGTCGATGTTCGCCTAGAATTTGAAACTCGGACTGATTTTCCTGAAGATACTGCAGCCTACTGCTTAATATTACACGATCGTATTGTACAATATAACCCGATTAGTGGTGATGTTAAAAAATTAGTTTGAAATTAACAAGACATTATGTAATCAATGTACACAATGCTTTTCAATAAAAAAAATAAAATTATATACATATACACTATATATTGTTAGAATTTAATACAAACTACCTATAATCCTAGAGAGAGAGAGAGAAAGAGAATAGCATCCACACTAAACGGCGTACGCACCTAGCAAGCTAGAGACGCTACCCCCTCTCCGAGGGCCCAAACTTAGCCAGCATAAGCTTACTATGCTCCCTACTATAGAAGGAGAGAGACCATCATACAGCTTACTAAATACCCTACCAACTTCTACAGCATCCTACCTTACCAACCTATGTATATGAATATTGGTGGGTGAGTGGGTGAGAGTAGGTAGGTGGATGGAATAGGTGAATGGGGGTGGGGGCACTGGTAGATCCTAAGTAAATTAAAACATTATTAATTTTTTATTTTAGTTTAATTTATTATTTTTTTTTATAAAATACATTATTTTTTATAAAAATACAATTTTTTTCTTTTTAATATTACTATTTAATTTTTTTGGACCCGACGACCTTAGAGGGGCGAGTCGGCTTCCTGATGGTTGGTTGTGCAGGAATCAAAATAACTTTACGTCGAACACACTCAACGTTTTTTACCACCGGAATTTTTTTCTGTAAACAAATTTTTTAATTATTATTTTTAATTTTAAATTTATTAATTCATTGTATAACTTAATTACTTACATTAGCGGTCAAATCGAGTGGTTTATCAATTTGAGTATTATCTCCTCTTTGACAGCCTGCGGATGTTGCTGTCGAAGAGGTTGTTGTTGACGTCGCTGGTGATGTTCTCCTCGACGTTGCTGTTGACGTCGCTGGTGATGTTGTCCTCGACGTTCCTGATGATGACGATGATAATGTCATCGATGTAGATGTCGTTGACAGCCTCGAAGATGATCCATTACCTTCATTCACCATGGCTGTTGTTGATGGTGCAGCAATGCTGGAAAGCCGTCGCTTAACTTTCGCAGCAAGTTCGTCTTGCTGCGCTTTAGCTAAGGCGGCTTTCCGTTTCCGCTCCAATCGAGCGGATTCTTGCTGCCTCCGCATAGCGTCCGCACGCTTATGTTGTTCTAGTTTGGCGTTGACGCGATCATTGACAATTTTGTCAATTTGATAGGCGACTTGATGCGCCATCATTCTGGCCGCTATAGATTCCTTGATCCACTGAAAAAGAGAAAAGACAATTAAATATTAATAAAAAATATAAATTGATATAATATTATAATAATACATACTTGTTGGACAATCGCCTTTATTTGTTGAATTTGCAGTGCTTGAGGACTGTTCTCCTCCACAAATCGCTGCAACTGAAAATAAATGATAATAAATAAATAAATAAATAAATATATGAGAAAAAATACTTACGGTAATTAATAATAAAATTAAGAGCCGATATAACGGCTCTTTTCCGACATTCTGCATGGTCGGAAGCTGGTAATCTGAAGTGGTAAGCTGAAATTGAATAATAATATTATTAAAAAATTATAAAAGTTATTTTAATTATTTTTAAATTATTTAAAATTATACTTACAGTTTCTAAAAACTCACACGCTTTGGTGATACTTTCCATTGTTGTTGTTGTTTTATTTTTATTAATTAACTTTAAAAAAATATAAAACTTACTAATGTTTAAATAATAATAAACAATTAGCACTACACTGTGAACCGCTCGAAGTTTCCTTTAAGACTGACCAACGAAAATCCTACCGAACACTCACACTATTATCAGGTACGAATTTTCTTCAATATATGTAAGCTACACACAAACGTAGACATTCTTTGAGTGAGATAGGACGTTTAGTGTACCCTTTCCCACCCCATGTAAGCTAGAAAGTTTGTCACTTTCTAAAAACTATAAATCTTGACGTCCCGCTGACTTTATGGTCATCCGCAAAAAACACATTAAACGTAGGTCACGCGTCCGCGCTATGAGTTTTGCTTGACCATCCTTAAACCGTCTATGATCTACATTTGCGATAGTCATAGGTAACATAAGATAAGAGGGAACGTAGTAAGCATAGATGCTCTCTCTTTCTGAAAGTAGTAGAGAAGCTTGATCACCCTCAAACCAACTATGATCTACATTTATGATAGACATAATTAACTTAAGATAATAGGGTAGTTAATAAGCATAGCTGATCATGCGCTCCCCTCCTCCTCGCACTGTGGACCACGCTGAGTCAGAGCTAGAGAGAGAGAGAGCATACATTTAAAACTGCTATAGTAGCGCACCCCCATCAGGCCAGAACTATAGACAGCATGCGCTCCCCTCCTCCTCCTCCGCACGCTCGGGCCCTATACCAAATGTATGCGTGTGTAGCTAATATACACAATATGCATCCTCTAAGGTACATGTGGCATTGGCTCTAGTGGTAGAACGCTAGCCTGCCAACCCAGAGGACTCCGGTTCGATTCTCCGGTCTGTCTCTTCATTTTTTTCAAAAAATCTTCGCTATTTTCTATTCGTTTCATTCTCAATGTAGCATGTAAATTGTCAATAATATATATTTATAACTTTTTAAAAAAAAAAAAAAAACATTTAAATTTAATTAGACTAAAAGCTCTAGGTATAGGGTCCCTAGGGACTAGGAGCCCTAGTAACCTTCCTCAAAAATTATAAATAATTATTAACATTAATAATAATAATAATAATTAACATAGAAGGGATAGAGGCCAGGGAATCAAAGGGTTAAACCAAGGGACCCCCCACGAATATTGTTAATAATAATTGTTAACAATAATAATTATTATTAACATAGCCAGGGGGTCCAAAGGGTTAAGCCCGGTGGGGTCAAAGGGTTACGGACCCCCCGCAGGTGTGCTGGAACATACGTATGTTCCAGCACACCGGAGACCCCCCGCAGGTGTGCTGGAACATACATTGCTATACTACTCTCGGGTTTACTCGATTAATTAGTCGTTTTCAGTGAAAAGAAAGCATAACTTTTCGTTCGCGCTGGACACATCCGAATGGCCTTTCACTGTACACCATTCGAACGCAACTTTCGCGTTTGGCTTGCTCGACACTAATCAAATCGTTCGCAGCTGACTTTGGAACGTCATTTCTCCGCGAATCGCGGATTCGAGAAGGACGAAAGACAATGCCGTCACGGCAAAGGGACTTCGCTCGAACACGCGAGAGAGCAGAGCGCCCCGACGCGAAGCCAACAAATCCAATCAAACGTTTTCTCTGCGACACTCGCGCGGATCCTCCGTCACTCGAGAGCTTCATTCATCGACTGGCAAAGGCTAGGCTTAAGTAGCGCGATGGTGGAGTCCGTTGGCTGACCAAAATTCGATGGACGTGTTCAACGAATACGAAGGTTTAACTAAACGCTTGGCTACACGTTGAATTCAGCTTCAACAAGACAGACACATTGAGATATCTGTCAGATTTCTATTCCAGCCGACTTTATAAATGATACAGCGATGCGTGTACGTCTTTATGTAGCACTTCGGAAGGTTACTACTTATTCATGCGCCAGCGCGAGTGTGCCTATAGCTACGTAGGCTTACTCAAACGGCTTCTCGAGCTTACACCATGATGATACTTGAGCATCAAGGCCGGAGTGTACTTTGACTTTGTTTGAGAGCATATCTCAGAAAGTCAAGAATTGGCGGCCAAGAGAACGGAAATGATAAGAATGGCTCGCCCGACAGATTGCCTACGTGCTGTTCCTGTTGCTGATGTCCTACACAGTGGTAGTGCGCATGGGCGACACGCCGTCGTGGGCCGAGTTCTACTCGATCGCCTACATCTGCACAATGGGCTGCGAGAAGATGAGGGAGATCATCACCTCGGAGCCCGTGGTATTGTCGCACAAGTTCAGCGTCTGGGCGTGGAATATGTGGAATCCTTGCGACGCCGCAGCCATTATATTCTTCATCGTTGGCCTTGTGCTGCGGCTACGACCTTCTACCTTCGACGTCGGCAGATCTATCTTCTGCATCGACATCATGTATTGGTATCTCAGGATGCTCAATATTTTGGGCGTCAATAAGTATCTTGGTGAGTTGGCCGTATTCTCTCATCCGTGAGATCATTGGAGAAGTTGAGCTGATATTCGAAAATCAGCCGGATAGTATATCGCGGATGATCGAAGATAATGTTCGCATCGAATTTTTCCTGCGAACGGATACGACACCGCTGCATTTCCATACAAATACGAATGTTCGATCCAAAGCGTTGCCGGCTAACAAGATTTGTCTTATCCTTTAATTTCAGCGCGAGAACAGGTCTTGTGCCGGCGTAGCTTTTCCAATACTTTCGCGTTCATATAACGTCGTGTACCTAATTTTTTCCTTTCTCGCTCTCCTGTTGCACGCGAGACTTGGAATTCGCCGATATTCTGCCGCGCGCCTCATCTTTCCTCGTTTCATTTCAATCCCGTGCACTCGCGCGTGTCAATGTACGCGCCGGAGAGAATTTAACCTTGATACGCAATGTCCGAATGCATCGAGAGTCCATCGGTAAGCGTGCCTTAAGAATTTGCATAACGACAGAAAGGAAACGTGCGCCTCTTTTTCTGTCCACCCCATCGAGTCGAGTATTTTATTGAACGCCCAAGTGTTCAATGCTTGCGCTTGACGTTTATTTCGAAAATATTTACTACGAGCTTATTTATTTACCTTCGCGCGAATACGGATTCGCGGTGAATGTTAATTAATTCCCCGATAACAACATTTCTAGGTCATGCAAATAAAATGTTGTATTAATGAATTTCCAATGTCGATTAAACGTTTTGCAGGTCCTTTGGTTACGATGATGGGCAAGATGGTCAAGAACATGATCTATTTCGTCGTTCTTTTGCTGGTGGTATTGATGAGCTTCGGTGTTGCAAGACAAGCTATACTACATCCCAATTTGGAGCCCAGTTGGACTATTGTTAAAGATGTAATTGTTTTTCACAATATACTCCGCGTAATTACATATTATTAATTTGCCTCTGCGTTAAATATGTAAATTCGATTGCTTTTGTGCTTTCACATTTCACGGAGATTAATCTAACTGTAAATTGTATATTCGTTGATCAAGCAATTAAACATCATTTTGCGATATTTTTATACAGAAAAAAATAGCAACCCAATCCTTTGTAAAGAATATAGATAACGTTAGCTTAAAAACATTTACAATAACAACTGGTCTTTAAGTCAGATATTTATGGAATCTTGCTTTATGCATTTCATGCATGGGAAAGTGTTTTTCTCGAAATAAAACACTTGAAAGAATTTAAGTCTCGTTTAAGCGATATATTCGAGGCCTTTACAGCAATCTACAAAAATGAACGTATTCGATTGCTGTTTCATGTGTAGGTGTTCAAAGAGCCTTATTTCATGCTGTACGGTGAGGTATACGCTGACAAAATCGATCCCGAATGCGAATTGGACCCGAGCATGGAGGCGTGCCTACCTGGAAGATGGATCACTCCAGCCGCGATGGCAATTTACTTATTGGTGGCAAACATCCTGCTGATCAATCTGCTCATAGCCGTATTTAACAACATCTTCATCGAAGTAAACGCTGTTGCACATCAAGTCTGGATGTTCCAGCGATTCACCGTGGTTATGGAGTACGAACAAAAACCAGTGCTACCGCCACCGCTTATCGTCTTCTGTCACCTCTATCTTTTGATTAGATATCTGTGGAGGTGAGTTTCGATCGCAAAATTCAATGCTTTTAGAGCACTAGTTATATACTCGAAAAAAAATGCTGCTTACTTAGCCCTATAATGAAACTATCTTGAACTTTTTTTTTTCAAAGTACGTTCGAGTTTAGTAAAACATCCCGTTGGTAAGAGGTACAATTGTATATCGCATTGTCGATTAGTTTACATCAAGTAATCCATACACACGCATTCTACTTTTGTAGATCATCTTCTTTTGGTTTCGTTAGATATTAGAATCATTCATGTCTGTCCTATCCTCTTCATCTATGAACAAACTACGAAACTGTAACACTGAATAATTGGATTGATCAATTTAGTCATCAAGATAGTAGCATGAGTGTTGTATAGCACGAAGTATTCGTTACATCCATCAACTAAGCAGCGCTAATGTATAAACTATCATCTGCATGAAAGGATATTGTTTAATATAATTGTATGAGTCTGAACAATTATGAGTTTTCTCAGAAATTCCACCGAAACGGTCGAGGAATGAAAATGAACAAATCTCTTGAAATTTCCAAAATATTTCTTTGATTGGCAAAATAATAAGAATTCGTTGCTTGACTATAAGTCGTAAGAGTGCAAAAGATATCCGCACATTTTTATTACGAGCTTGCTTTGGGGGGTCGGAAGCTGATTTCCTTTCAAATCGAAATACGAAAATCCCTCCCCGTAAGGCAAACAACAACGCTACAACCTCCGACAATGTTGGAGAAAGACAATAGCGAGCGTTGCGTGAGAGAGAGAGAGAGAGAGAGAGAGAGAGAGAGAGAGAGAGAGGGGGTAGGAAGAGAGTTGAAAAGAGCTGTGTTTTATTGTCGAAAGGTACCTCACGCAAGGTCGTACGCAATCAGGCGAAACGTCCGACAACGGGCTGAAGCTGTTCCTTGAGGCCGACGACAAGGAGCGTCTCTACGATTTCGAAGAGGATTGCGTCGAGGGCTACTTTCGCGAACAAGAATTCAAGCTGCAAATGTCCACCGAAGAAAGAGTCAAGGTCACCACCGAACGAGTCGAAAACATGCATCAAAAGATCGAGGATATCGACAAGAAAGAGAGCAATCAGTCATCCACGCTCCAGGTAATAAAAACTCAAGTCATGCGCGCGAGCCCTATCAGACATGGGCTTTTTTTTCAATCACCCGCCCGCGCGCCTCACACCAGGTTTCGATTGCTGTCGTCTATCAACAATGATTTATTGTAGCTTTATATATTCGAGTCGCTCGATCTATTCTACAAAGCCATTTCTTTTCTCGATCGCGTTGAACTTGACAACGATGGCGGTCGTATGATTTTTCGATTGCGTGCCGTTTATTCGTGCTCATTGGCAGCATTAATTTTGCATTTGTCAGACGGTGGAATTCCGAATGCGCAAGCTGGAGGAGCTGAACGAACAAACTCTGGCCCACTTGGGCGTAATTCATCGGTTCATGGCGACGTACATGCCAAGCAACGGAGGTGGTAACGCGGGCCCAATACCCGAGAACTTCAGCACCGAGGGCATACGCCACCTGGACGTTATCGATCTGGTGCGAACTCGACGGGTGTCCGAGCGCTCGGAAGCGGGCATATCCGAGGCGGAATCGCACTCTCAGCTGCCCTGTATTCCGCTGCGACGAAAGAAGCTAATAAGAGCGATGACCGACGCGGCGTACCTGGGCACAGGTGGCGGACTGCCGGCCCAGCCGCAAACCCACATCGAGCAGGAGGAAGCTGCCGCTGCTCTGAAACACGCCGTCGCTGCGATCATCGAGTCCAAGGAAAACCTGAGCAGGAACGACTCGAGCGTCAGTGGCGAAGTTACTACGATGCCGGACGAGTCTAAGGAAAACACTAGCCACGACGACAGCGATGCCAATAAAGCTACTGGAGAGGCGAGTGATCATACTGTAAATTCTACTGAAAATAAATGGGATCTCGGCGATGACCGGTTCGATTTTACTTTGCTTTATTCGGCAGACGAAAGAGACGAAGGCAGAAAAGTCAGACGAGCGTGACACGTCGGGCGAGGCGACGGCTACGTCGGAATCACGACAGGACTCGGTGGAAAAGCCTAGTCGGCAGAATAGTCGCACGCGTTCGGAATCTTTGGTAGAGGATGCAGCTGCGGCAGCAGCGATCGCCGCTAGTATGTCGGGGGTAGTTCCGTCGACGAGTTTCCAGCGCGGCGTCACATGGGCCGAGCCACGAGTCGCCCACTTAATCCAGTCTTCCGGCTCCAGCAACTCTCGCTCCCATCTACTTACCATGCGAGCCGAGTACACGAGCATTACCGATGAATTGGAGAGCTATTGTGGCTTGTTAAGTCCGCCTAGAACACCACCTATGTCGCCCACGCCGAGGAACCGCGTCAGAAGTACTTCCGAGAGGAGCAATCCTAATCCCGTGGAGATTGCTTGGGAAATTGAGAACGAGCATCTAAGAGATGCCGAGGAGTGCGATTATCAGCAAATGGAAGATCTCATTCAAAGACGGTAACGATTTTTTTTTTTTTTTTTTCAAGAAACGTAACCTCGGCGTTCTAACTTTCGTTCTATTTGTTTTCAATTTCGTTCTGAATTTTTATTTATTATTTTATCCTAGATATCACGTGACGGACGATGACGACGATAATAGTAGCCATGAGGAACAAGCTGGGTATATTAATACGAGTACATTTTTCACGACAAACGAACTACATCCACGTTTACGTCGCGCGTCGGCCATCGACGAGGATACAACCACACGACGACGCATCCATCGCTTGCCACCGGCAATCAACGTTACCCGTGAAATCGAACAAACGCTTGCCAGGCCAGCGGCTACGCGCGACTCTAACGAGTCCGATCCCAACGACAAGGGTATCAGTGTCGTGCCGGCGCCTGCATCTGAAACCATGTGCTAATTTGTTTTTCATTTCAAAGTCGCTTCAGTCAATTTTATTTTTGTAAATAATGCGTTATCATCAATTACTCAACCGCATTGGCAGTGCGAAAGAAACACTGACGTATATGAGAAGACACGTAGAAAATAAGGGTTGGTAATCCGCGTGAGATTAGGTTATTTTGGATGACGTATTTCATCCACACGTTTTCACTGTATTGTTGTGACGTGCGGTAAAACAATCAACGGTGCTTCTCCTAAGACTGTCACCACGTGTTGCGCAATTTTTACTCTCTTCCGTGCGATGATCATGTAGGCGCTGTAAGATAGAGTCATTCATTAATGAAAAAAAGACTCTGAAAATGGTACGAGGAATCACAACGTTTAGTGACTTTATAGGATTCTTTCCAATGAACATGAATGGTGTCGTTCAAACTTTTTGCATTTGTTGGTATGCCCACAATATATAAAATGCAAATCTCATTTCAAGAGTGCTTATGAAATATATAATAGCTTGATTGCAAAAAAAATTGCGAAGTGTTAAAGCATTTCATTTTAACGTTATCTGGGACTGTGCAACTGAAACTTCATTTTCTTCTAATTTAGAAAATATAGTTTTTAAATATTTTAGAGATCCGGTTAAAAAACTTAGTAAATTAAATGAATTTAGCGATTTTTTCCTACATAGTTTAAGTTTTAAAATTATTTACTCTTAATCATGCATTAATTTTATTAGTTTAGAACAATTTAGCAGAATTGATTTTATTTTATTGTCCATTTAATTTATACGCTGCGTAGTTTACTTATTTCGTTAGAATATTATATACAATAGAAATATGATCAAATATAAATATTAAGCAATACTATAACTGGAAATTATCAAAACGAATGTCTACAGTAGTGAAATGATATTTCCGGCTATTTATGTAACAACTTGTTAATTTTTTGTATTTTATAATTTTATTTTTCCGATTGTTATAGTAATATCAACTAGTAGTTTCATTTTTGACTAAAGCAATTTTTAATTTTACTTATGGTTGATTAAATCAATATCATCATGAATGACAAATTTCACGTATTACGTCCAAAATAATAAAGTATATTACACATCGAATTGTATTCATGTGAAGAAAATAGTAGGAAAAAATCAGATATTTTATGCAATAGCTCCAAGTATGCTATTTTTAGCTTTGTATCTTAATAAGCCTACTGTTATCTACGAAATTGAATGTACGAAGTAAAATAGAATAGATCTGTATGCAATTGTCTTGTGGCGAATGTAGTTGTCCTGAAAACATTAACACTCCGCAAAATTTTCAACACTGTCCGAAAAAAGCTCAATTGCGAAGTTTTGCAGGGCCAAATATTCGTCAAAGTCATATCACGCGAATATTATCAATTTATTCCTTACGCATATAAAATGGACTGCACCACAAATCTGTGTTAAAAGAAATTTAGTATCAATTTATCCTGGGTGTCAACTAGACAGAAAATTATATTCGAAAACATTTTTAACTGCGTTTTTATAATGCATTAATCGTGAGTAAATCAATTAATTACATATATATATTAATACAATATATATATAGTAGTTTATTATCATTTACATATATTCAATTAAATTGATTTAGATACTTTTTTATGTCCCTTGTAAAAAATTTTATTGTTTGTCAATCTACGTTTCATCATCTGATGTTTCCAAATTGAATATAATTTTTTCTCTAGCAGATTATCAAATAATTGTACATACATGGTATTTGTTCGATGGAAACGTAAAGGTTCAAGCTGGTCTGAACTCTTACTTGAAGAATTAATGATGATATTTTAATAAAAATATATTTTATTGAATCATCTAATTCTGTGGAATGAAAGCAGGAAATCGATAAAATGTAATATTGCTTATTACATATTTCAATAAGCAATGAGAACTTTGGAATATATAGATACAATTACGACTAAACTTCAATGAGAAAAAATTATAAAGAGCTAAGATAACTGAGCTAATTTTTGGTTTCATACCTCGAATATTTTTGAAAATCTGTAGATAGATTGGATTTTGAAAGAAACTTTATGCTGAAAAAGATAATTGTAATGAAATGCCTTCAGCAATGAAAGAATATCGTCGAAAGACATTATAATACGCATATTTTTCTGCTTTTATTTCTCTATAACTCAAAAAATGGTTAATTCTGAAGATACCAATACAAATAAGTATGCAATATCTGAATTCTTCTCTGTCTATAGTTATTTTGAATAATGAAAGTTTAGTGGAGGAAATTCAAGTGAAGGCCTAAAGAAAATTAATAAGTGTCATATCTTATAAACTATCTACAAACAATCTACAAAGTGAATAGACTAAAGAAGACAGATTTCGTCAAAGTGATTGTGAATATTTTTCCATTGTTGTCGTAGTCTGTCTTCCACAATAAGTGTTACTTACACGCTGTATTCTGCTATGTATAATCTAGTCAATAATCAAATTTGCTGGATAATAAAACTGAAATATTTGTTTAATTCAACGCGATTGCTTCGGTATTCTGGTATATTTTTTCTACTTTTTATCTCGCTAAGGAAGATCGAAAAGAAAAGTCTAACATTACCTAATTGTTTAAAATTTTTTTAATAAAGTCAAAGCTTATTCTTTATATTTAAAAGAATCTTTCACGGAAAAATGACTAAAAAATATATAATTAACTCGTAGTTTGTCTGAAGAAAGATTATTGTATATTTATAATGTAATTCGATATTTTATTATTTACATTTTGATGTGTATTTACTGATAAACGTATAATATTCATTATTTTTAAAACAAGATTAAAATGAGGTATAATCTAAATCATCGGTTTGGGAATGATTTTATTGATACATGTAAGAAGCAATACAAGTGTATGTACGTTATGCCCGCTTATAATTATACAAAAGAAATGTTCAATTAAAAGCAATACTAGAGAAATTTTAGTGCGAATTGATCTCGAAAAGTTGCGGCATACCAAGGATGTGTCATTGAAATTATTTATATAACAGTTTGCTGTGAAAAGTGCTTAATAATTTTTTTGTGCTCTTCAAAACGCTAGCATTGTTCAGAGAGCGAATATTCTTAGATTTCAATTAAGTATACTTGGTATATTAAAATTTCTATGTTAACGATTGAAAAAATAGAGATTGATAAAAAATATGACTGAATTGTACTTATAGAGTGATGAATCTAATAAACAACTGAATTAAAAAGTCATTTTATTACTAAATTTGTGCGAATAAAAAAATAATATATTACTACAATTATTTGCAGAGTTCTCTGTTGTGAAGCTTTCAAGAGCCCGCACGATGATTTCGATATTAAAACTAATATTGTCGCCGAGATTTATACTCTCAATTTGAAGAGACACGTATAATTCTATTAATCATTTATGTACATGTTTTTTTTATAAATAGTTCTTTAACTACAACTCAGCTTAAATGGAACTGAATGTGTTAAAAAAATTTACAAATCATTCATACTAAGGTATAACATCAATTTTTAGTAATTCGATACGAGTGATACGATATTAGTTGTCATAAAACAATATCTCAGATGCTTTTACTTCTCATTATCGTGAAATTCCCACTAAAAGATTTTCGTGATAATGGTAAACTATCTATTGGCTTGAGCTCAATTCTCTTGTATATATAAAAATGTAAGCGAACTCAAGAGAAATTATACGAAAAATCTACTGAAATAGTATTAAAAGAACGTGGTTCGGTGAAATTTTATTGTATACTCAATGTTAAATTGCATGTATACTGAGTAAGCTTTAATGTTTTTGTGTATTAAATATATGAAGTTTAATTTTTGCCCTGAAAATGTACTTATTGTCCATAATCATTTGCTGAAAATAAAGCTTAACGTAGGCAGTTGTGCATATATATGCTAATTTCAAGACGATAAAATACGTATGTTTCATAATATATCTATTTTTAAAGCGAAAAGTACTGCCGTATTTTTTTATATTACATCACAATTGTATGAAATATACCAAAATTGCAATAATTTTATGACTATATTTTCTGCGTAAATAGTGGAATTGAACAGAAAAAAAAGAAAAAAATAATCTAGAAAGTACGTACATGTGCACCACGCAAAAGACAACGATAATTTCAAGAAATTTCACCAAAGCATATTCTGGAATGACGACGTGAAAAGATTGTTCGAAATTTGCCCCTTATGAAATGCGGAAATGGCAACTTATTTTTTTAGTAAGAGACAATACAAAAAAGAAATGTAGTGCCACTGAAATGTATAATATTTGCACAAACAAAGCGTGCGCTCGATGAGAATGTCGGAAAACATCTCGAACCCCTATTCATGTATAGGAAATAAATAAAAATAAAAAAAAATACTTGAATTGTTTCATTCAAACATCCTAGCATTATTTGGAAGAATCAAAATAATTAAATTGTAGTGCGAGTAACTAGTATGTATTAAATATTATTACACCACTCTTTAGGGAATAAATGCGCATGATTATTAACGACATTTTTTCACAGATCGTTTATAAAACACTATATACCAATTTATACAGAATAACTTCGTAGCTCTTGTTATTATCGTTACTTTATTTTTGGATGAAATTTTGGCGATAAGGTGTTTATCTGTTAATATTTTTATTTAGATTAAGTGCCTCTGTACTCTGTTTGAATGGTTGCGTGTTACACTATCTAGTGCGTACGTGCGTGTGTATGTGTTTGTGTATATGTACACGCACATATATTTATATAAACTAGGCTATTCTTATTACACCACTTGAATTTCCTAGAATTTAAACAGGGTAGTGAAAGATAGTTCTGACAAAAGTTCAAGAAGACCAAGAAGATTATTCAATAGTGCCAAAGATCTTGAAACCAATTTTTAAGTTCATAATGATTCTTTTAATTGAAACATCTTTATTGACCCTAGATTTTAACGGAGCGAGAAATTTATATTGAAAGTGATATCATAATCAAGGTCATTGCAAGGTTGGATAGATGGTCAAATTTACAAATTTAATAAACTCCTTTATTACATTTTTCAAAGCCTCAAGCCAAATAAGTTCAATTGTTTTAAACCGATATGTATTAAAAGAAACAAGTAGGTCAATTACCGATAGCTTGACATTGACTTCAAATTAAATATTCAGATTTTTTTGAAATTCCAATGATTTTTAAATAGAAAAAACTACTTTCGTCTCGAGATTTGATAAAAGAAAAATAAGTTTACGTTCTTTTTTGTTTACTTTATTTTCATCGCCAAATAAATAACAAGTTCAAGTACGGGTTGAGCTTACTATTTTATGTTTTACCTCTTATAGATCTGTAGAACTGTTTCGATTATATTATCCTTACATTTAGGACTATCCAGAAACAACGATATAGACTTAGCATGGACTGCTTCCCTTGAGGTATTGCATTCAAGTCAGTTCCCTCGCCTCTTACAATTCTAAATATTATTCATTTGAACTAAAAGCAAAAGTTCGAGGTTGTCTCCATTTGCTTGAGAGCATCATTCGATATTGTATGCGCAAAGTGCGACTTTTTCGCGTGTTCGGTCAAAAACGCGCTTAAAATCGAACTTTCGCGTGATGTACGAAGCAAGAATCTATTTTCTCGCATTTGTATTGTAACATACCAATGACCACCTCTATAGGTTAGGTTACGCTAAATGTAAGGCTACTACAGTTGAAACAGCTCTAGAAACCTTTAAGATAAAAAAACATAAAATAATAAACTTAAACTTTAGTTGACCTTGTCATGTCTTTAATGAAAATAAATTAAACGTAATTTAAACATAAAATTTTTACTTTTTCAAATTCCACGTAGATAGTAGTTTTATACATTTTATAAAATCACCATAACCTTAAAAAACTTTCAATGCGAAGTTCAAGATCAAGGTTAGACTATCGGTAGATGACTTCTTTGTCCCCTTTAACATATATCTGAAACTTGAGATTTTGAAAAATGTAATTGGAAAGTTAAATTCATAAATGTGACCTTGATCCGACCTTGTCACGAACTTCATTGTTATATTATTATCAATTAAAAATTTTTCATTCTTTTCAAAAACAAGGTTAGAAAAACTGTTTTTATTAAAAACATCAGTTTCACATTAAAATAATCTTGAAAGTCAACTTAAAGGTCAAAGTCATCGGAGTTAATGGGTGACCACCTCAGTCCTCTTGAACTTTTGTCAAAACTATTCAACTCCATCCTGCTTAGATTCAGAGATATTCAGGTGGGCCGATTAAAATGCCCCTTCTCCCTGTATGTATATATAAATCTTAATTTATTTAGAAACTTGAATACTTAAAAGCGTTGTTGAGGAAGAATTTTTTTACATAATTTCTCTGACCGTTACAATAAATTCCAGGTTTTAAAAATCTAATATGTAATTGTTATGACTTTAAATGTAAAGTAATTTTTTTACGTAATAAGACGTCTGTCATCTACTTATGACCTAAAAAATTTTCTCATTATATGCTAAAAATGCGATAAACATCTGAAGTAATATAAGTACATATATTGTGCAACGGATGATAATGAAATCGACTACGCTTCGTAAAAGCAGTTAACATGATTAACTTACCGTGTCAGTTGAGCTGTTGATTTTTTAAACTCAAGTCAATGACATCTTATGAAATTCACGTATCTCGATAACGAAAAATTTCATGAAAACATGATATTTGTAAAAATAAGCTTTGATTTATTATTTAATAATTTAGTTAAAAAAATTTTAGAAGAACATTTTATAAAATTAAGTTTCTATATTACCAAAAATTATTTATTATAATTAGCTATATATAAATGAACTAAAAATTGGGAAGATTCTTTCAATGGAAATCGATAAAATTTCTCTGATTAACAGTTATTATTCATTAAAATTTTAAGATAACAATTATTTTCTAATTTGTTTTCATCAAAATTACGTTAACAATTCACAATTTGTATAATCGAAAATCATTTAATCATGTGTATATAATAATAATTATAATAATATAATTCAACTAACCGATTTAATTAAATTAATATCTCAGAAAGTAAACTGATATAAAAGTCGCTGAAGCAAAGAGGATTCGATAAGCGGAGTACAAAGAAAATACTGGAAAGAGCCGTTAAAATGTATTTATTGCTTATGATCAATTTGATGGAAATCAAGCTTGGCGGAAATAATCATTTTGCAAGTTTTAAGACGATAAAAAATGATAAAATTGTTAATGAGAGTTCATATTACTATTTCAGTCAGCTATTTCAATAACTGCCATCTCAAAATCCTATTGACAATTGCGCTGTAAACAATGTAAAATTTCGCTTAAGCTGAATTTCAAGATTTTTGACTACCAAATTCTCAAACGCAATCTTTCAATAAAAATAGAAAATACAATAGAAAGCTAGCATCGTAAGAATAATCATACACGCTAAATATGCATATACAAAATAAAATGAGGCAAATCAGAATATAACGATATTTATCGATTCTCTCCAAAAAATACATAAATGTTGTACCGTAATTTCCAAAGTACCGAAAATAAAGTCACAGTCCTTTTGCAATAGTAATAATTATGAAGGTCAGATTTGAACGAGATAACTTAAAAATAATGAAAGTACCAGAAGTATATCCATACAAAATAATACCAGATACATCCATACAAAAATGTGACGAAAAATCAGAAAAAATGACGTTACAAACTTCTCATTAATTGACATCAAGTGCGTAAAAATAATTATTCTAGCTGAATACGATATATTTACACGTTTCAAATGAGAAATTCATTTTTTTAACTAATACTATTTCAAAGCTTGTTCATATGAAAGATGCTGGATACCTTGCAATATTTTTTTAGACTACAGTTTCTCCGTAAACATAAAAAATAGAAAATAATTTACAAAGTACGTACATGTGCATCGCGCAACGATAATTTCAGGAAAAATAGCACGTGAAAATATTATTGTTTGATATTTGTCCATTGCGAAATGTAAAAACGGCAACATATTTTTCGAGTAACAGGCACAACGAGAAAGACATGTAAACGTACATTTCGTTTGCGTTCAACATTTGCACAAACGATACGAGGCTGTCAGAATACATCTGGAATCTCCTATTGAGCTTAGAAAATAAATGAAAATGTCAGATAATACCTGATTGGTTTTGTTCAAATATTGACACACCATTCGCGAATGTGCAATATAAAATACACACGGTTGGAACATACGTACTTAATGTATTATTAGGAGGTAATCGGCCGAGGGCTGATGTAGATGTTGTTAAATAAGAAAAGTGAATGTGGTTTTTCTTATTTAACACCTATTTGAGTCCTCAGCCGAGTTCATCCATGGACCTGGGATGTTTAATGTTCCATGTTAAATCAATTTCTTACCTGGCAAAACTGCGAACTCAGCGACTTTACGGATTACCGAGCGACATTTACAATGTAAAGATTATCGCATAGTCTTTTTGCATAATGCTTTCAATTGAATGAGTTGTCACAAGTCAGTAGAAATTATAAGACCGCTGACAATTTTTTAAATGTTTTTTATTGCTTTCCTCGTGTACGAAAATCGGAAAGATTCTTTACTATATTTTTCCTTTCTTTTTTATTCTTTATTATAAATTGGCAATGGCAGTTAAAAATTATACAGAGCACATCATAACGTGTAATCAATTAGGTTACTATGGACAATGATAGATTTTTTTATAAGGTTAAATAATTGAGAAGTAAGTGACAGCTCTATGTTATGATGGGATCGGTCGAACCAGTCTGAAAATGAACTAATACAGTTGTTATGAAAATTATTTACCAACCTAATAATTTCATTTTCCTCATTACTGTGTTTACTGGATATGAAATCAGATTGATACATCAATTACTTTATTAGTAGTATACGCCTTAGCGTTAACGATGTGTCTTACATAGAGTATGATACTTTTATAGGAGATTGAGGATTTTTCCCTTGCCTAGTCTTTTTTTATTGACGTAGAGATTTTATCGGCTTCAAAAATAAGAAGATTCCTTATTCAACCTGACTTTCTTTTTATATCATAACGTCCATTTTGTATACGATAAACTTAATATATAAAAAAATAAATCAAACTCAAGTAATGTCATTTATGATCACAAATAAAATTGAAGGTTTAATGAAACAAATTCTATGTAATACAACTATTATTCTTACAATATCACAATATTCGTGTTGGCAATGTGATGTGAAGTTAGTTGGATTTATGAAACTAAACTAGTGAAAAACGCTGTGACGTATTATACGAAGCTCGGTGTGAACGAAGCTAGCGGATGCAGCTTCAAAACCGAAATAAGCCGCGCAACGAGCAAAGTATGTTGGCGGAGCGCAGCGTGACGTAAGAATAGCAGCGAGACAAAGCGAACAAACCTACTGGTTGGGGCGACCGCAGCATCACCACGCGGACCGAGCTGGCGCTCACTCGCAACACGCACACACGCGCACACATGTAGTTGGGATCGTAGGGAGCTCCGCGGGCCGGTGAGTGCAGAGAGCCGCGGCATTCGCGCTTCAAACATGGCAGCGGCAACCAGCGTTGTCGTGCTCGACCGGGGCAACAATACCACCTGCACCATCAATCTACACGGTGCGTCTGTTATCCACTCCGCCGAGTGTCGGTCGCTTTTGCCCGCGAACTCATTTGCTAATTTGGCTGTGCTGTAGCCTTGCGCCTCCTTCTTGTGCCAGTGTTTTTGGGTTATAAAAGCTTCATTTCATGTCTTTTTCGCCCTTCGCAGTCGTGCAATCGTCGCTCGCGATAGTGTTGACAATAAACATGCAACTTTTTCGGCCGGCCAAACGCTAGCGTACTCACGCGATTATCATTTGGCAATAGTGTTTCGATTGTGTGCCGTTATTGTGTTTTTGCTGTTGCGAGACTGTTGTGGTTGTGCTCTTTTTTTGAATCGCGCACGAAAATAAGAAAATTTGAACCGCGCTTTTCGCGGGAAAGCTTTGCTCGTTTGAAAACCGTCGGATGACCAAGTGATTTTCGCCACCTTCGTCATTTTTCTATTTCGACCGTGCCGGTCGGTTTGAAGTCACGCGTCGATCGAAATCTTCATCTCGACGCTCGGCTCTTGTCGACCGTCAGTGAACGTGAGAAAATTACAGTCGGAGCCAGTGATTCCATTTCGGCAAAAGTCAGTCGTGTGAAATTCCATAAAAAAGTCGCTGGTACATCATGACGTGCGACCAAAGCAAGGGCAGCCGATCGCAAAGTACATTATAAAAACTGTCCGTTGGCTCGCCAAAATAAGCGAAAATGAAAACGGTTATGAATCGGAACGACTGTAACGAGCTCATTGTAACGTCGAGCGTAATGAACGATTCTCTGGTAAGATCGAAAATTCGGGAGAAAGCCTTCGCGTCGACGACTTGGCGTCAGTCTATCGCGCGGAATACGCGACACGGCGAGATTTTTCCACTCGCGACGTGTGTAATTTATTCGAACGCGTATCGATGGACGGATGCACCGCGAGCGTCATTGAGCAGCTTGCGCGTATGCATAACGAAGGCGGCGGCCGTATCGTAAAACGAGTTTTCTCGCGACTCTTGCAATACCAATCGTAATAATTGCTTTCTAGATTTCTATGCCATTGGACTTGTCGCACCTTGAATTTCAAGTCGTGATCGTAGTGGATATTTATGCGATACGATTTTTTTCTCTCGCTTTTTCTTTGTTTTTTCTTCTTTTACCATCGCGCCATTCGTCTCTGAAAATCATATTGTTCGGGATCGTTAAGGAGAAAGTTGAAAGTAACAACACGTTGACCTCTTTGTTGCAGGTGCCACGGTAGTTTCTTGGAGGGTTAACAATCAAGAGCAGCTGTTTGTTAGGTAAGTTTTGCACATTTGTTCGTCAAAGATACGTTTTTTATCTTTCGCGCTGCTCCAAACTTCGGCAACCTGCGCTGTGTTAAAGGAAGCAACAACTCGATCGTCCAATATTTTTCAACATTTTGACCTGGTCGTGTAACGAACCCTCTCCGAGAAGGTTATAGACGTAGCGAAAAGAAAGTTTCGGAAAACGATCGCATATACACGTCGTATTACGTAATAAATTGTCTCGCCGATAAGCGAAATCCAAGAGCATACCGTGTCAACAAATACAATCCTCATCTGCCTCTAGCCTTCTTGAAGAAGAATTCTCACAATATCAATCCGGAACGTTGAAACAAAGCTTACTATTATATGCTCCAGTTGAGTTATCGAGTTCTTACTCCTTTTCCTTAATAATTCGGCCGTTAATTTCTGGGCATTGCGTATCACGTTAGCGAATAGTGTTTCGAGGTAAAAAAATTTTTTTTTTCTAATCATTCAACGTATTAACTCCGTTTACGTCATCTACTCGAAGTGAAATTAAGATCGAACGCTAATCGAATTGGATTCCATTAATCCGTTCATCGATCAGAGGTCGCATAAGTACAAGACTCGGCCATCTTTGTAAAAGTTTTACTCTAACAAACGCGTTCGAATGATGGGCAACTTACGGTAATCCAACCGTCGATTAGCCAGCTGGCTCATTTGAAAGTCGAAACTCACGAGAGTGAGAGAGAGAGAGAGAGAAGTGGCGCTTACCATTTAACAATAAATTAAATGGCGCAGGTCCAGAGAGCGGACACCTCGTGAACTGCATGTTTGCGCGCAATATCAGGTCGAGACTTCGAGAGAGCTAACGAAGACGGGGAAAGAGAGAGAGAGAGAAAAGCAAAAGGCAGATCTCCAAACCGACTTGTGCGGAGTCAAAGTCTGAGCGCGAGAGTGTAAGATAAAAAGTATGCGCGCGGCTGCGTTACGTATATCGCCCCGTCAAAAGTCACATTTATTAGGTCTTATCGACACGGCATGCGAAACACGTGTTCCCCGTCGGCTCGATCGGCGTAACACGCCCGGACGCTCTCGCTCGATTTTCTAAGTGCCCCCCTCCCTCGCTTGAGAAGCCTTGCGTCACAAGGATATGCTGGATTTGACGCGCGCGAGAGGGACTTTTTTTTTCCTTCGCGCTCAGCGTCAAATGCTTGTCGAGAGAAGGTGACAAACGTTTGAATGACCATTAATTTGTTTGTCCGTCCGTTATCGAGCTTGGCAAAGAGATAATATTCAGAATCGCATTGGAATCCTTCGGTGCTCTTTTTTTCCCCTCTGCTGCTGTTAACACTGCGATGCATAATTAAGTTTTTTGTTTTCTTTTTTCTTCTTTTCTTTCGTTCATTTCGTGCGCATCAGTTGTGAAATTGAGATAGAGCGACGAATGGCTAAGAAAAAAAGAGGATAGCAAGACGACGGCGATGGAAAAAAAAAGTGCGCCGGTGACGACAAACTGCACCGTCAAACTAATTAATGTATTGCTCGCATTCGAGAAAAAAGTAACTTGCGAGACAGATACTGGCTTTAGTTACTTTTGGCTGACTGCAATTGATATACACTGTAAACTTATAGCTGATGCGTGGAATTAAAATGAAACAATTGATCGATAACACTTGACATTATTGCTGTAGTTACAGGTACACATGTTTTTTTTTTAATTATGCGATATATTCATATTACAGTTAGATTGTAGTTTGCGTAAAATATAACGCTTTAAAATCAGATCATCCAGTATTATACGTGGTAATTACACACTAAGTAGAAAGCCACGAAAACGAATAAAATGAATAAAAACTGGAATGCACAGTTTTCTAACTTCTGATAAACGTGAATACATTGCATAAAAGATTTTGCAGATCATGGCTTTGCGAAATATTTCAATTTCATGCGAAATAAATATACCGTACAAAGATAGGACTTTGATGCGAATCGCGTATGAAACAAGCCGGAATGCGTATCGTATTCGAAAATCTTGGTGGTGCCCGATGATCAGCCTCGACGCTCTCCGCACGGGCGATGTGCGCGGCGAATCGGTGCAACTGAGCGTAGTGCGGCGCTGCGCGCCTCCTCCCCGTGCTGTCCGCAGCGAAACAAAAGGGAAACAAGAACGAAGGAAAAGTCGGACAAGTCGCTTACGTCATGTCTGTCCTTTCTACGTGACTGGCTGTTGCCGCGCGAAGTGCAAGCTCATTATCAGCGGCGCGCGCCAACAAAAAGGGAGGCGCGCGGAGAGAACGGAACGACGGCTCGACGCCGATCGCAATTAACTACTTGCCGCGGGATTACGCGCGCTCTCGATTCTGTTCTCCCCGTGCCCCCCCCCCCCCCCCCCCCCCCCACCGCTCTCCTTACGCCGGGTCATTTCTATTGGACCTCGCGCAGCCGCGCCGCTCTAGCGGCATTCAAATCGAATGCTTTGAAGCAGGTAAACCCGTGCAGGTATGCGACGAGGGATGCGCGATGCGAGTTACGCGAGCCGCTTGGTCGAGCGTGCCAACTATTTTTTCACGTACCGTCGATTACCACGTTCTCGCCCGGCGGACGAGCTACTCGTGTGCCTAAGAACGAGGCTTGTTTCGTTGTTTTGTTTCGGTCGAATTGTTGCGACCGTGATATCGGCGTGTCTGCTTTGGCATTTCTAGCGTGGCTCGATCGAACGCAACGCCCTCTAATCAAGGCCTATGACTCGGCAAACGAGTTATCGCGCGAGCGACGCGCGATCGGTAAACGCAAATCGCATAAATTGCCGTTAAAAAAGAAACAACGAAGCGCCGTGACGAGGAGTCACGGGCCGCGTACGAGCCGGCGCAAGAGCCACGAGTCTACTTCTGGTCCTTGATTTACGCGTATTCAAATTCGGCATCCGTGTGCCATACATCTCTCGCGTTAAAAAGAGGAGAGGAGAAGGGCGCGCACCGCGGGATAGAAAGAGAAGAAAAAAAAACATACACAAGAGAGAGAAGCGCGAACGAGAGAGACAGTACGGCGTGCACTCGTGCAACGTACAGCGGAGAGAAAGAGAGAGAGAGAGAGAGAGAGTTTTTCCCTTTGCGCGCGCACTCGTTAGCGGATCTCGGCTCGGTGGCTGCGACACAGCTTGGCGCCATGCATACACGCGGAACTGCGCTAAGAGGCGAAAAGCTCGCGAGAGAAAAAAAAAATGCAGGCATAACGGGGTACGCGTGCGGTGGAGGGACGACGAGACGCCCTCGGGGCCGCTTAGCTCTGTTTCGCGACAAGTGCTCGCTCGGCGCGACGCGAGAACGGTGTGCTCCGATCGTATGAGATCGTCAATGAGGCACTTTCCCACATCAATGATTCAGTCGGCCGCCGCTGGCGACGGTCTCTCCCACCTCGCGCGTAGAGAGAAAAAAAATAGCTCGCGCATCGAATCGGAGGGCCAGGTTAGTAAAAGGGAGTCCCGCGCGCGCATTAGAATACATTAATATTCCCCGGCGCTTGATTTCGATTTGGCGCGGAGCGGACGCCCCCCTGCAAAATCGCTCGCGCATCCTCGCGTGCAGGCGCGCAGCCCTTCCAAGGAGAGCCCTTTCCTCGAGCTAACCGTAAAGCGCACAACAGTTAGACGGCCTTCCTGCCTCTTTGTGTCTCCGCAACGGCGCGTCGTTCAACTTTCTAATGCGTCGCGTGCTTGGATGCAGATGTTCCGCCGACTCGTTTACTCGCTTCACCTATCGCCGCCGAGCGCGCGGCCTCTGTGCCTCGCTGATTAATAGCTGACCACCGCTCGTCCTCGCGCTCGTCCTCGCGCTCGTCCTCCTCCTGCCTGCGGTGTCTCGCGAGCGAGCGCGTGCGAATTACACCGGTCGTTGGGTTCATTTATCCCGATGTTCCGGGCAAACGGCAGCCAAGAGATTACGATCGATTCGCAAATAAGTCGATGCTTGGATGTTTAAGCAATAACGACGCCTTTATCGCGCGACGAGTAGTTTATAAGGTGTCGACTGACGGCTCGACAGAGCACATTAATAATACCCACTCTGGTTTCTTAGCGATGGCAAGTGTACGTGTATATAAAACCAGGAAGCCCATGGGCCTTACTTTGAAAATGCATTAATCTTACTATCCAAGGACGCGTACACCACATTGGCTTCTCATGCCCTTCTACTCTCTCTCTCTCTCTCTCTCTCTCTCTCTCTCTCTCTCTCTCTCTCTCTCTCTCTCTCTCTCTCTCTCTCTCTCTCTCTCTCTCTCTCTCTCTCTCTCGCTTACTTTCTCTCTCGCCTCCTTTTTTCTTCTCATCTACTCTCTTTAACACACAGGAAATAAGAATTTTTTTCGATCGCCTACAATAGCTTTCGAGTCAGTCATTGCAGCACGTAAAAAACGTTTCGTTTTGTAGCGGTAGTATTCGATTTGCTTCTGAATCGAAGGACAAGTCGGAAAGACTCGTAAAGTTTCCCACTACGAAACTTTGACGGTATTGGCAATGATTATTTGTCGAAAATAAATATAGCAAAGTCGTGATTATTGACATCGAAATAATGCTTGGCTACGGCGACTCAATTGTTCGCCATTCCGGCATTAGTTTGTCAGCAAACTGCCATAAAACAATAAACCAGCGTCGTAAAGTAAACGACCTCGGGCAAGCTAAAGTTAGCCGAAGGGAAATTGTAGCACATAGTGTACACATTCGCGGACGAGATACGGACACTTGCGTGGAAGTGGATGATGTCAGAACAAGAGAAAGAAGTAACCCTCGCAGTAGCGGCAATCTTGGCGAAAGTTCACACGCAATTCCTAGAGTGAGAGCGAATTCCATCTCTCATGGGCAGCGGCGCAAAAAGCGAAAACAAAAAAAAAAAAAAGAAAAAGAAAAAGAGAAAACAAAAAATCACTGACAGTGCGCGCCCACACGGAGAGGAAAATGACGTAACGCACGCAAAGGCGCGCGCTCGAGAAAGCGACGCTTTTCGGAGAGAGCAGGGTTAAGGGCCGATGATTAAGGA